TGTTTTTGGGTCCTGTAGCTAGCTCTTATTCCTCTAGAGAGGCCCTCTTGTGCCTCGGGTGGTGGGTGGGGCCCTGGGATTTCCAGGTGTGTCCTTATTCTCCCCCTCAGTGGGAGGAGTCTGGGTGGGGCTGGGTTGGGTAAGCCTGCCCTCAGGCTCCACAACTGCTGCTAGCAGGTTCAAAGGTCTACTGTTTGTTTCTGTGCAAAGCTGCCAGGAGGGGCTGTAATGGGTCCACTCAGCTGAAAGTCTGGGCTTGGGGGCTGGGGCTGTCCAAGACCCACACTCTGGAGCAGGTCTTGCTCCCCTCCACTCTCCCCCACTCCGTGGCCTCTCCCAGGCCTCTGCCAGAAAACGGGAACTCAGGCCGATGGATCTCCCCTGGCTGTGACGTGGGCCGGGAGGTTCCCTACCCAGGATTGCAGCCTGAGCTGGGTGCACAGCCCTCTTTTGGGAGGAGGGTTGCCGGTCAGGCATGCTGATCTGCCCCTGAAGGTGCACACTCCTTAGTAGGCTCTTTCACAGATCTCTCCTCCGTGCCCCAGGGCAGTGCGATCCTGACTTGGGTGTATGGGGTCTGGTCTGCAGGCCTGTCCCCTGGACCCTGGAGATCAATCCCTGACCCTGCCGGGGGAGGGGTGTTGGTCTCGAGTCTCCTACAGGGTGCCCAAGCTGGATCAATTTCACTCCACCTCGGGATGTGCCCCACTCTCCTGGAGTCCCCAGGCAAGTGGCATCTGGGAGGGCTGGCGGGTCGGGAACTCGCAGTCTGAGTGCCCCTCAGTCTGCTGTAGGGCCCCAAAAGGAAAGGTCCGGTTCCTTGGAGATGCCTCCGTGTGATGGCTAAATTGTCTTTCTGGGCACGCACGGGTAGGGAGGGGGAAGGAGAGAATGGAGCACTATGGCGTCTGCCGCTTGGCTCGGGTCTGCGCCCGGGTAGGTGCTCGAGGGGGCTGGGAGCCCGCGCTGAGTCCGCAAGAGACCACTGCTCACTGGCGGCAGCCGTCTCTGGGCTGGTGCCGGCAGGTCTCTCCAGCTGCTCAGGAGCCCACCCACAGTCCGAGATGCAAGGGAGGGCGAAGTTAACCGCTCCACCTACCCTTGTCGCTGGTCTCCAAGCCTCTCGGGGCCTGTCTCCTTCCAGTTCTCCTCCGCAGCGTCTTCCCGTGGAGTCTCCTGTAGTCTCAGGCACCCTTCCTTCCGACCCTCACCCGATCTATGTTTCTCTGCTCGCTTATTTTTTCTCTTTCTTCTAAAATTCATCTTTTTTGCAGAGACCTTCTGACTGGCGGCTTTTCTCATCCACCATCTTGGCTCCTCTGCCTGTCTCATCTTGTATCCCACTTTCTACCCTCCAGACCTTATTTAATTCCTCAAACATACCTTCTGCTGCAAGTCCTTTATACTTCAAGTTCACTTCCTCAGGAAAAACTTTCCTAGTGCCCCTTCTTCATTAAAAAGCTGTAATATAAACCACATACCTTTCCTTTATCACATTTCTCTCACATGTTTGTGGAATTTATTTGAATGTCTTTCTCTGCCACAACATTTGTAAATTCCATGAGTCTAGGGGCCATGTCTGTTTTTGCTTGTATTGTATTGTGTTCCTAGTGCTAACCCAGTGCTTGGCACAGAGTGGACACTCCAATATTTAGATATATGCAATAATAATTTGGCTCATTATTTTATGAGCCTCATGGTTTAGACTTTATCTCACAGTGAAAATTTATCATTATTCAAACCTTTTACTGTGTGCTCAAATCAGAGTTTAAAGAAACAGACTTTAGCGTATAAGCTTAACCTTATAATTTAACTGTCTTGACTATTGTATATTGTCATTTCGTTTTTTTCTCTTTCAGTTCATCCATCTACAAAATAGATATTAAAACCTTGTTAGGGGCACCTTCTAGATCTTAAGCTACTAGAAGTCAGATACGATAAACTTAGAATAGCATCAGAGGTACTTGAGTTGCTTAAAAAAAGCTGCTTGATTTTCACTGAAAATGTGCACAGCATTTTAAAAACAGCCAATATATTTCAGATTTGTTTCGACAACAGTCTTTAAACCCATATGAAAGGATCATCTTGGCTCATTTAGCAAGTACATGCATAGGCCAAAAATAGGGAGGAAACACATCAAATACATTCAAAATGAGACAGGAGACCAAAAAAGTTGTTGCATTTTAACTTCTTTAATAATACACTTAAAAGTGTAACACGACAAGAATCCACTATTTTAATTAACATTTAAACACAATTATAAAGAATTAAAGGCCAAACACATTTATGAACAAACTGCAATATGTCTTTAGGTTTGTAGGCTGCCCAACACATTTAAAATGTATAGCAAATGAAGTCACAGAGCTATAGGGCTACAAGAAAATCCCACAAGTTAATCGCTTCACTAGAATCAGATCTGGAATAATCAGAATAATCTTTAAATCAATTTGATGGTCATTCTGGCTCATCTAAAAAATCACACAGATGTCAACCACAGAGACTTGCAAATACAGAGTGGCCATTTACATTTAAAAGGAAGTATTATAGATAACCAGCATAAAATCAATTCCCTTAGTTACTGTTTTCCACTTTCCATATGAGCACTTGAAATGTTAATATGAGATAAAAATTTCACTATTAAAACTCACATTACATATATTGAAGCTACAAACAAATACAGCAAGAATATAGACATACTGCAGCCTCTGGCTTTAACATCTCAACACACTGGTCAAAATACTGAGAAATTCAAAGCATACAAAGTCACAATATAGGGTAGAAAAATCTTAGGACAATTTAATTCAGCATACTCATTTTACAACTGGCCAAACAAAAGACCAGGGGCAACTGGACCATAACAATCCATGTGTGCTTTTGCAAATGCTAAAAACTACCTTGACTGTGAGAAATGCAGCTTGATCACTTTAGGAGAATTTAATCTTCAAATTGGCAATTTATAATTTCTCATTATATGTGAATAAAATTGGAAGGATGTTAAATCTCCAAGAAAAGTTACTCTTGTAAGTTAGGATGCCTTATACTGAGGCTTTAGAATAAAAGTACACTTCACAAATGGAACAGTGAACATAAATTATTATAAGTCAGGATAAGAGTCATACAGAAGTAAGGTAGATTTCCCAATACACAGAAATTATTTTGATGACGTTGTTTTCAATCATGAATTTAAAATGAAGTGAGTTAGCTCCAAATACAAGATAAACATAAAATCACTTAACTTTAGAACTCACGTAATATTTTTGCTGAAAACAGTTACTGAAATTACTAACAAAGTGACAGAATATCTTTAAAGCAGTGCCTTCTTTATAATCTGTAATAATTTCATTTTTTAATTTTTAAGAAGTATTCTTTGGACTATAAATTTTCTGCAAATACACTTCCACTTTATTGTTACCCAAATTACAGATATCCAAGATACCGATGATATGGGCTCTATCCAGTTCACTTGCTGCTTTTATAATATCACCTAAAAGTAAAAAGCAGATGGTAAGTACCGTAAAATAGTTAAATATTTACTTGGATTTAGTATCATATAAGCTGATGACTTTTTTCTGACAATATTAACACTGTTCTTCATCTTCTCCCTCTTCCTTCCAATTTATCACATGCATTTACCAAAGTTATGATATAGTAACTTCTGCACATTAAAGTTGAACACATCAAACAGATGGACCGATAATGTCAAGACATAGACTGATACTCCAAAGCCATATTTAGTTTTTGTTTTTGTTATTTTTAAAAAAAGGCTCCACAGGGAACTGATGATGGGCTCAAGTCCTCTCTGTCACCCTTTCCCTTCTCCCACCAACATTCCTTATGCATATTTAGTTTTGGGTGTTTTTTTTGTTTTGTTTTGTTTTTGGTGGAAAAAAGTAAATCTACATATCTTCAAGGTCACTTAGAAGGTTCCAAATAAACAGTTTATTGTTACACTTCAAAGAAATGCAAAGACAAATTTTACTTTGAAATTCAATTATCAATTTTTTATAAAATATACAAGCCAGAAAGCAAAGCAATACATAAGTACCTTATATATTTTAATTACATATGTGTGTATATGTGTGTGTGTATGTGTGTATGTTTAATTGAAGCTTCTTTTAAAGTGTATTTCCTCTGAAGCAACTTTATTAACTAAAATTTAGCTTTGGATACTCTCAATAAGCTCTATCAAAAATGGATCAGGTGAGTGACATCACTGAAAATAGCAGAGTAGGGAACTCTAGGGTTCTGTCCCTCTTCAAAGCATCTTATAAGCTGGTAAACTTATAAGCTTATAAACTCTCAGAATCAACTTTTGCAGAACTCTGGAATCTAGACCAAAACTTAGAATAACCGGGGAAAAATTAATAGAGAAAGAAACTGCTGCACTGTCGGAAGAGTATGCTGTGGTGTTTTATAGCCTGCCTATCACCCCTCACTCCCCAGGTAAGTGGCAGCCATGAAGATGGCAGCTCGCACTCTTGGTGCAGGTTGATAGTACCAAAGGCAGCAATGCAGACCTTATTTTCAAAGATGTGGTTGTATTTTTATTTTTTAAGAGATGGTGTCTCCTCTGTTGTCCAGGCTAGAGTGCAGTGGCATGATCAAAGCTCACAGCAACCTCAAAGTCCTGGGCTCCAGCAATCTTCCTGCCTCAGGCTCCAGAATAGCTTGGACTACAGGCACGTGCCACCACACCCAACTAGTTTTTTCTTATTTTTTTTAGAGACGAGATCTCACTATGTTGCCCAGACTGGTCTCAAACTCATGGCCTCAAATGATCCTCCCACCTCAGCCTCCCGAGTGTTGTGATTACTGGCATGAGCCACTGCACCTAGCTCGAAGATATGGTTTTGTGTTTGACCTGTCCACCAGCTGTCTCAAGGACAGATGCAAGAGTCTGATTTTGTTTCACCCAGTTTGGAGCATTCCCACAGCTGGGGTGGCTTTCCTGGTGGCAACTTTGTTGAAAGCATATAAAAAAAGCAAAAGTATTGGCCAGGACAGCTGGGTAGTCTATAAAGCTGAGACAAGCAATAGACAGAACAAAAAAGCCTGGACAGGAAAACAACAGGAAAAGAGATATATTGGGGAATAAGGGCTTTTTAAAAGCTCCTGTGTACACTGGGAAATCAAGGATGCCATACGCATACCCAGGGCTGGACAAATATTCAGAGAAGGCCTGAGAAGACTCTGATCATTCACCTCTGGCTGACCTTTAGGCTCTGAGCAAGCAGGAAGTGAAGGCTAAGGAAGAGTTGTAAATGGCCTGGCTAAATGTTGAAGGAGAGCCACTACACAGGGCCAATCTGCAAAAACTGGGAGAGTGTATTTTTTTCTTTTCCCATTTCTTGGCTCCGATGTTTAAGGAAACTGTCAAAACACTAGCTGACCACTACTAAGCTAATGGATCACAGACTTCAGTGGCTATACACAAAAAGACTTTATTTTAAATAGGAAAAAATTAAACCACTTAGAGGTTAAGTAACAAGCAAGTCACATGGTGATTCTAATCTAGATAGTCTTGTTCCGAGGCATATGCTTTTAACCTTTTTTTATGCTAGAGCTCCATCCCTACAAAATTGTGCTAAAATCCAGGAGGGGATCTAAGTTTTGTGGGGCCTGAAGGGTATATTATTTGGGAGCCCCATTTTATGAAAAAATACAAAATATACAAGAATATCAAAAGGGCCTTAAAAGGGACCAATGCAAGCTTAAGGTTTCATTAGCATCACAGTAAATTCACCTCTGCTAGACATATTAAAAATCTAAAGAACGATCTAAAATTGTACAAGTTCACTAAAGCACAATGAATATTGTAACAACTGCTAGTACTATGTTATTTTCTTTTTTTTTTGAGTGGAATGGACTTTAATTCAGATGCTTTGGAGTGATTTCAAGATCTTCAGATTTGATGCCAACAGCAACTACCCAAATCTCAATAATTCTAATTGCTATCATATATTGACTTTTACAAATAATCACTTAACTACTACCCAAAACATAAAATATAGGTTAGTCTTCTGTTTAGGTGATTCTGCCTAGTTGTGTAAAACTTTGAACAAGTGACAATCTCTCTATGCTTCAATTTGTTTAGCTAGTACCTATATCATAAGAACGTTGTGAGGATTAAATATATGTAAATCATTTAGAATGGTAGCTGACACATAGCAAGCACTCAATTAAATATTAGCAATGATTATTTTTACTTAAGCAAACTTATGAAATTAGGCTATGATTATTATTTCTATCACAAGAATTCTTTTAAAATAACTACAGATTTTACTGATAAAATGAGGTTCTCTACATTTCATTTTAAATTGTTAGAATTACAAGAATGGTACATTTTTAGGAACATCACAAATGCATAGGGTAAGTTTGACAAAGGTAATGCTATGTGTTGTCCACTCTGTTTTCTCTTCTTGGTCACAGGGGAAAACAAAGTGTCCTGGCCTTCCTTGTAGCTAGGTTAGGATCATGTAACTGAGTTCTGGCAAATGAGAATGTGAGTGGAAGTGATGTCACTTCTGCTCCAATGTAGTTAAAAGCCAGAAGTGATGTCACTCCTTCCCAATGTAATTAAAAGCCAGTGTCCCCTCCATCTTTCTTCCTCTGCCTTGACAACCTAGAAGCCATTTGTTCCTACTAGGGCAGCAACAAGATGGAAACAGGCTGCATTCCTGAATCACTGCTGGGAAGAGAACTGATGACTGATTGCATTAGACTTGAGCAAGAAATAAACTTTTATTAAGTCATTGTGACTTTAGAGTTGCTTTGTAACTGCAGCATAGACCAACCTATCTTGTAAAACAGTGTGGTATTCCTGTCTCTGAAAATAATATGGGAAACTCTGACTACCTAGAGAATAATAAAATTATTTTCTTAAATGTGTTAAAACTCTTCCACATTATGCTATACTTCTGAGATATGTATCAATGGTAATGCTTTCAAGGAGGTGGAAGGAATAGATATCCTTGTACTTTATAATTAAAGATGACACCAAGTAGGACATATCAGTAAGCCTTATTCAATAAATGATTTGGGGTAAATGGCTAATCATTTGGAAAAAAATATAAAATGTAAACTTATCTCACTCTCTACACAAAAAATCCAAATGGATAAAAATTTTAAATTGGAAAATGAAGACATATGAACACTAAAATGCCCCCAAAATCTTAGGCCGGGTGTGGTGGCTCACACCTGTAATACCAGCACTTTTGGAGGCCAAGGTGGGAGGATCACTTGAGGCCAGGAGTTACAGACCAGCCTGTGTAACAAAGCAAGACCCCATCTCTACAAAAAACAAAGAAACTAGCTAGGTGTAGTTGTGTGCGCCTATAGTCCCAGATGCTCAGGAGGCTGAGGAAGGAGGATGACCGGAACCCAGTAGTTCGAGGCTGCAATGAGCTATGATGGTGCCACTGCCTCCAGCCTGTGCTACAGCCAGATGCCGCCGTCTCAAAAAACCAAAACAAAACAACCCTCCCCCCAAAACTCAAATCTAATTAAAAAATGGGCAAAGGACTTGAATAGACATTTTTCCAAATAAAATATACAAAGGGACAACAAGCACATGAAAAGATGTTCAACATCATTAGAAATTAGGGAAATGTAAATCAAAACCACAGTGAAATACCACTTTACATCCATTAGGATGGCTGTTATAAAAACCAACAGAAAAAAGTGTTGGTGAGGATGTGGAGAAACTGGAATTCTCACGCATTGCTGGTAGAAATGTAAAAAAAAAAAAAAAAATAGCGCAATTGCTGTGGAAAAGTCTGTGATTTCCTGAAAAAGTTAAACACAGAATTACCATATGATCCAGCAATTCCACTCCTAGGTATGTATCTAAAAGAAGCGAAAGCAGGGACTCAAAGCAGGTACTCATACACCAATGTTCATAGCAGAATTATTCGCAATAGTTAAAACATGGAAACAACCCAAATGTCCATTAACAGATGAATGGATAAACAAAATTTGGCATATACACACAATGGAATATTATTCAGTAATAAAAAGGAATGAAATTCTGATTATATTACAACATGGCTGAACCTTGAAAATGTTATGCTAAGTGAAATAAGCCAGACATAAAAGGACAAATAGTGTATTATTTCATTTGCATGAAATACTAACATAGGCAAATTCATAGAGACTGAAAGTGGAACAGCAGTTACCAGGGGCTGGGGAGAGGGGGAAGGGGGAGTTACTGTTTAATGGGTACAGAGTTTCTGTTTGGGATGATGAAAACACTCTGGAAATGGGTAGTGGTGATGGTTGCACAACATTGTGAATGTACTTAATGTCACTGAATAGTACACTTAAAAATGGTTAAAGCAGTAAATTTTGTTATATATATTTTATCACAATAAAAATGTGAGTAAATATAATGAAGCTATAAAAGTACCAGAAAAAGACATTGAGAATTAAAAAAAGTAGTTTTGAACTGAGTGATGCCTTTCTGAGTATGACATAAAACCAGCAGCCACAAAATAAAAAGCTGATACACTTGAGTATATACAAATACAATTACTTATTAATAAAATACTAAAACAAACCTCCCATTGAATAAATGTCAAACTGGGTAAAAGTATTTGTAACACCTGATAAAGGGTTAATTTCTTTAATATCCAAAGAGAACTTACAAATTAATAAGAAAAAAGACACTAAAAGAAAAATGAAAAAAAATAAAACTAGCATAGAAAGTTCTAGAAAGTTACAGAAGGAAAAAAATATAAATGACCAACAAACATATGAAGATTTGCAAGCTCAGAAACAAGAAATGTAAATCAAAATAATGACATACTGTTTTTTGCCTATCATACCTAGTGTGTACTAGGGTGTGAGTAAAGTGGCACTCTTGCTTTTGGTTCAAGTGTGAATTAAGTATAACCTTTTTGGAGAACAATTGGGCATTATTTACCAAAATTTTAAATGTACATGCATTTTGAGTCAGTGACTTATCTTCTAGGAATTCATCTTACAGATATATTTGTATGCATGTACATAGATTTTATATATATACATACACATAAGTATATTCACTGCAGTACTGTTTGCTAATAGGAAAAACAATTGGAAACCATCTAAATGTCCATCAGTAGGGAATAGGTTAAATAAATTTTGGTACATTCACTAAGTGAAATAGTTTGTAGTTATTAAAAAAATGAGGTAGCTCTATATATACTAATATGAAATATATCTAAGATATACTGTCAAAGGGAAAATGCTGGTTATGGAATCATATATTTCCCAATTCCATTCATTTGTGTATATTAGTTAGAGAGAGAGAGAGAGAGAGAGAGAGAGAGAGAGAGAGAGAGAGAGAGAGAGAATGAATATATACTGTTGTATGCAAAAGTAATTTCTCAAAGGATTCAGAGAATACTGGTTATTTCCAAAGAGTAGGTGAGTGGGATGTCGGAATGCAGTGGATCTGGGAAGGCAAAGAGGGGAACTTTCACTTTTACCTGGTACCTTTCTGTACTGTTTGAATTTTTAAATTGTTAACATGTATAGTTTTTGTAATAAAAAAGTAGCTAGTTTATAAAAAATGTTTGAAAGAGGACACTAGTGTTCTACTATGAGCCTCTGTATTATATCTCTATATAACTATTTTTATCTTTCAATTTAGAATCATGAAAGGAATGGAAAAATGTGGAATCAGATCTGGTTTCAAATTCTAGCTGTGTTACTCATGCTAGTGAATCTCTCTGATTTTCAGTCTAGTTATCTATGAATAGGGGATAACAATGTTCACCTTGCAAGGTTTCTATTAGGATTAGTTGTAACTTATGTAAAATGGACAGGCACAGAGTTAAATGGATACTATTATTATTATGAATGCTATGTCATGAAAAACATGGTATTCCACTCAAAATTAATCACTTTGCCTTTGATTACCAATTGATTTTTCTTCCCTAGTGATTCTTGTCTTTCATGTCCCAAATAGTAACTTCTCTGACAGAATACCAGGTATTTTCATGCGACCATGTTAGTGACTACTGGAAGAATATTGGCACTAGTAACAAGCTGATAGCTGAGAACTCTGACCTGATAGTTTATATCAATAATAGCATATACATATAGCAGAAGACATGTGACAGAAGTGGATATTATATGAAATAAGAGCATACATGAGTACACAAATATTTAAACTATATGTTATGGCACTAAATAAGAAATTTGAGATTACCGAAAGTCTAAGGAGCTGCAATGTAGGAAGTAATACTGCAAGTCAACTAATACATCATCTCTATAATGGACTGTGAGAAAAATTAAAAATCCTCACCTCTTTTAAAATTAGATACTCAAGTTCAGCAGCAACCATTACTGCCAAAAGTTACTTTATCATCAGGCATAGCTTATAACACTCATTTAAAAACAACATACACTCAAGGGTTTCATCAGCTTAGAAAGACCTACCACAAAATCCCAGGATAATAAAGCCTTTCTTAACAGCTCTTTTAAAATATAATATCCTGACAAGCTCAATGAAAATTGCTAGAAACTTTACCACATGCTTATGAATTAGAAATAACAACAGAAAGTAAACAGGATAATTATAATTGGACACATAATTTTATAGGTATACAGAAATAATTTAAAGTTCAGTATATTATTCAACGGCCTAAACAATTAGCTGGTTGAAGAGTTTCACTATTGGGATTACATACACTCCTAGCAGTCCTAAAGGAATTTATTGCATAGCACTTGAATAACTAAACATTTATATAAGAGAAAACAATTGCACTGGAGGTATTACGATTTCAGGCAATTATAAGGTGAAATGACAAATTGTTTTGCCTGAGTTAAAAGGAGAAAAGAGTAGAATTTGTACTGCTCCATGTGCATACCACTTAGGTCTGATGAAATAATTACATTTGGAATTGTATTATAAGAAAATATTCTTAATAGCTGGATGGAGTAGAAACAAGTTATTCAATTTATTTAAAAGACATTCCAATTTATAAGTCTTGGGGTTCATTCACCAAATAACCCTTGAATTAAAACTACATTAAATTTTAAGGCTAGAACTATTTACATAATAAAATCTTAAGGTTAGGACTGCTTATAATATTACTTTTTTTCTGAGTGAAAAGAATACTGAGATTGTCTTACCGGCAAGTGCTCTTGGACCTTGCGGTTGGTCATTGCCAGTTAAGCCCTGTGGATATACACAGCTGTAATTCATGCAGGTTAACAGTGTGTCTATTTGAGATGTTCGGACATCTTCTGGAGAATACATGGGTAGGAATGCGACATCAATTGCTATCTCATGGTTGAGACCTATTAGAGGAAAATCATACATTATTGAAAGTTCAGTGGGTTAGCATATAGTCCTAATGAAGCCAAGTTTGCTGGTTTGATCCTAACGTGTGCAAATAACTTCAGACCTGGGAAAAAACCTGTGTTTCGAAACTGGGGACAAAACCCTTAGCTCTACAAACAATTTATAAATACATGCTCTTGGTTGAAAGACTAGACACTTGAGTGCAACCTATCACCATTGCTGGAAATAACAATTCAAAATGTTTTTCCCACTGGAAGATTGAAATCTTATTTTCCAGAGGACAGCCTGGTCACATAAGTGAAGACGTGTAGAGTGTTTCCTTCGTCATTCATGCCACTACAGGATAGGAGAATACAAAGATGACTATTGGTTCCCTTATTGCTCTTTGAACTTAAGGATATCTGACTCGAGCAAAGCCAAGGATGGTAGTAAACTAGGTCCCATCTGTCCTTAAATATACAAGACAAGCTTCACACACTCACCATTAGGGCTATAAAATGTTGCAGTAGAAAAAGGGCTAAGGGGGAACAATCAAAGTGAATCCTGACCTCTGATTGTCATCTCTTTATTTGGGTCAATGTCAACATGGATAAAAAAGACTTCCTAGTGGAAGACAAGGGTTTGAGCTGGATACTAACGGAGGAGTAGCACTTAAATAAACAGAGAGGAGGGCATTTCAGGCATAGCAGGGAGTAGCATAAGTCAAAGGTACCAGAGTAAAGAGACCATCTCAGCTAGAGCAAGGGTAAACAAACACACAGAGCACAGCTTTTAAACTATGAATTCCATGCAGTCACCCAAACCAGAAACCTGTGTTATCCTTAACTCCTCCCTTTTACTCTTCCCAGATATTTAGTCACTAGATTCTATGATTTTAATATTTCTCCTGTTCCTCCCTTCTAGCAATTCTTGAGTACTGAGTATGGGCCAATGATGGGTAAACAAAGTCCTTCTTGTTAAGCTGCAAACTGATCTAGAAATGAAAGTCCTTTGCTTTTTATGAGGAAGTGACACTAAATCTCATAGCTTTAATTTAACATACAACTAAGGGCCACTTAAAGCTTTTTAAGGATTACTAAAATTTGGTATTCATAAACTAAAATAATCATATTAGCTAGAATTTTCCAAGGATTCCAATTCAGTATTTTAAGAAGTGTAGCTACCCCACAATTCTTAGCAATGCTGCAAAACTCCTGCGAATGTGCATACAATGGTCTCTCTCCTTGATTCTAAGACTAAACTCTAAGACATGCCATTAATTTTATGTTTTTTTATAAAAAAGAAAACACTGCATTAAATGTACTTATTAACCACAAGGTGTTTTCCAACTTGCAAATGTGAAAAGAAAGCATGCCTTAGAACTGAGAAAATACCAGAAGCTGGAAATCCTGGTATTTTCAGGAAGGCAGCTTTATTATCAGTGTGTCCTATATATTATTTTGAGTTGTTTTCTAAATTACAAAATACTGTGAGTTATCTTCAACATAATAAGTAATGTTTGTTCTGAGCTGTTTGATTAAAACTAGAGTTCAAAGTGCAAATGTATTAGTCGACAGGTCTCAGGGCTTCTGTACTGCTGCTCTAGCGCCTAGAATGTTCTTTCTCCAGATAACTACATGACTTGCTCCTTCACCTCTATCAGGTTTCTGGCGAAATGTTACTTTCTCAGGGAGACCTCTGCTGGCCACTTTATTTAAAATTTAACCCTTTCCTACTAAAGCACACCCCAGCCCCTTTTTTTCCTAGCGATTATCACTGTCTCACTCTACTACAAGCACTCTTAGGGCAGGGTTTTTAATCAATTGTGTTCACTAACATAACTTTAGCACCTAGAGCAGTGCTAGGCACACAGTTGGTGCTCAGTAAGTATCTGTTAAATTGAGTAAATAAATGTACATTTGTGTATTTTACCTATAATTTTTCAATACTAGACTTTAAGACATTTGTGCATTTGTGTTCGAATATAAATTCATACATATTCCCATTACCAAGAAATGAACACAAATATCCTGTACAAACCCCAGTAACAATGGCTACAATGTAAGGAGAGCTGTTAAAATAATCTTCTCTAGATTTTTTTGTCAAAATATTTTTAGACAAAATTTGTCATATGGTTTGTTCTTTTCCTTTTCTGTAAAATGTATTTAAATGATAATTTAAAATTTTAATAGCATTAATTGTGACATCAGGTAATTTAATATGCTGTAGTTACATTGAAATAATAAGGCTTCATTTACCTTTATTTTTTTCTCCCATTAAAGCAGCCACATAGACCAACATAATTCTTGCCCACCTTGGTATTAGCCTGTGGGCTCAGGATCAATTATTTGTACCCCTGAGGTATGCCTCCTTCCTTGCTGAAAGCCCACTTGAACAATTAGCTGAGTAGCACTGGGTTCCCTCACTGTTGGTTTCCTCATCACTTAATGCTATTACTGGGGTTTATATCTCTTGATTTCCAAAAGACAAATACATGGCCTTCAGAGACTTGCGAAAAGCTGGCTGGATTATGTTCCTAAGTGTCCAAGTCAAAGGCAAATTGAAGAGAGGATTCTTTTTTTTTTGATACAAAATATTTTACATATTTATGGACTATATGAAGAGAGGACTCAAACTTTGACTCATCAGATTTCCTGGGTAACTAAATTAGTGTCAGTAGAGCCAATGATATACTGATGACATCTATACGTTCAATTAAACTTTTGAAAAGTGTCTTCTTATATTTAAGGTGAGAGATAATTCTTAAAATTGGGAGAGACTGACCAACAGATTTTAAATTTTGTACCTGGGCTAAAGGCACTGAAAATTTAGTTTGTTACTTCATCTCAAAATAGTCTCTTTAAAGTGTGTGATCTTACATGGTTGGCAATGGGCTGAGGTTTTAGTTATTACTATCTACTGATTTGAGGCAAGTGAGATGATGTAGCAAGGCTTTTAAGATAAGAACCAGTGCTTCTGGGATAGGATTCTGATATTGCCACCATACTGAGGTAGTTGTTGAGAGCCATTAGAACTGTGAGAAGGAAGATTAATAATTCTATGTAATGTTTTCAGTAACAATTCATTCTATACCAGTCAGAGCTAATGACTGAGTAACATGGTTGTGGTCCAAATATCTTCTGGCTTCAAGAATAAGTTATTTCAAAATTGTTGGATCCTACGGAAACTAGCAAGATATTGTACAGGGATAATAAACCACTAGAAGACAGCATCAGTGTAAGTTAGACAATCTTTGTGCTTGGAGAACTTTAAGTGTCATACAAATTTATCTGCCTGGATTGGTTTAGGCAGTCGTAACTATGAGCAGGGTTCTAGAACAGGGGTCAGCAAACTATGACTGGAGGAGGGCCAAGTCTAGCCTGTACCTAGTTTTGTACATCCCATGAACTAAGGCTGGCTTTTACATTTTTAAATGGTTGAAAAAATCAAAAGAATAACATTTTATGATATATGAAAATATGAAACTCAAATTTTAGCCATGCATATTCATTTACATATTGTCTGTGGCTGCTTTCACATTAAAACAGCAGAGCTGAATAGTTATAACAGAAATTGTCTGTCTTGCACAGCCTCAAACATTTCATCCTTGACCCTTTACAGAACAAGCGTGACCCGTTGTGCAGGATACTCTTAAAGTCATCTTTCAGTTTTAGGAGTCTATCTTTTAACTAATAGAACATTGATAAGAGATTTAATCCTCTCTTCTGAGTTCATTGCTCATGTCCATGCTTAAAATATATAGACATTTCTCTGGTCTCCTAATACAACTTGGGTTCATACTTTCCTAAAACATCTGACAAATTCACCACTTTCATAACTGATATTCATCTCTCATTTAACCAGTAGCAGAAAATGTCTATAGTTCAAGTACTCCTTAGAGAATAGTAGTTCTCAACCTTCATTATACTCCTGTATACCTGATGGACAGGATACATTCATTGCTCTCTGTGGCAATGTTTCCCTTACAAAGGGCAAGAGACTGAATGAGTTGCTTCTCTAGAGTGTACCAGAATTCCAAAAAGTGGGGTAGGCCTCCCTCAGATGATTTTGATAGGCTACCCTCTTCCACTAAGGTTGTATGAGAATCACTGGATCCAGTACCATTTATCCTAGTTTTCTAGATTTTATTGCTATATTAAGCCAAACTCTTAGAGAGTGATGTACTTGGATTATATAATAAAGTAAAAATATATTCCTTTATAGAAATGCTTTATTAAGATATGACTGATGATTATACTGATAATGTATATTACAAGGTTGATGCAGGAATCAACTATCTGAAAGAGAATTTACATTTCTTCTTTAAAGAAGAAAACTATAGTTGAAGATATCAACCCATTTGTTATTCTGTGCTATTTATATAATAAATTCATATAGCAGGTTCAGATTTGAATTTTGTTTGAGGAAAAAAATAACAGGATTCCTATATATGATTGTTTCCACTGCAACAGAAGATATGTTTAGAAACTCAGGGGATTTGATTTGTAATCACTGCCTAGCTTTTACCTAGCCAGGAAGATAGAAGATAAGAAGATAAGATAGAAGATAGAAGACTAGAAGATATCCAAGTTTCTTTTAGCTCTAAAATTAAATATCTCATCAGAAAAACAAAAACAAAAACATTCAACCCCCAAACCCTTTTTCCTTCCCTGCTAGAAAGTTTAGGAAAAATTACTGCCAAATGGTAGTAATTTGGTTATTTGTAAGTACCTAGTAAAATCCCATTTTTTCTGCTTCCTTTAAAATGTTCTGTTTTGTTTTAGTCATAAACAGCTTATTTTTCACTGTCTTTTAACTCTACAAATCATCCTTGGAAAAAGGTAGGCTATAAATGTTATATAAAATACAGCATATTTCTAACATGGATTAGAGCTGGTAAGCAGAATGATAAATGTTCCTTCTTCACGTTTGATCCCTGCTTTTAGCTGACTCATAGCCAAAGCTAAAAAGTTTACAATTACATGTAAGACAGCTGATATGTATTAGTCAAGCTGTTTCAATAGATCAGTAGCATGTCAAAAGGAAGAAAAATATTCAATTTTGATGTTTCTAGATGAACTCATCATTTCCGTGGTTACTTTCTGTGATGTATGGGAAACTTTGCTATCATTTTTGTTTCCTAAGTATAAAACTAAGGTTGAGAAACTACTTGAAGACAAGTAGCGCGATCTAGTGAAAGAAGCATTTGAAACGTAGGTCTGTGATTATCTAACAGAGTCAGCGGAAATTTAGATGTTTCCTAGATTATACCACATACTCACATGTACGTACACATTTATGTGTGAGGAGGCAGAGAAGAGGGGATGGGAGAGAATAAAGGGGAAAAAAGAATCTGATAAAGGTCAAGGCAATTCATTCTAGTATTACAGATGTAAAAATCCATGAACTACATTGTTCAGCCATTAAATTAATTTGCTAATGATTTTTCCTCATTCCTTCATTTTAAGGTAAAAAGAGCCAGTGCTAAGATAATCTTGTGACACACAAATATACATTTTTCCTTGACTCTAAGAGTCATTTCAGCTAAGATTTTATTTTAGGATTTTTTAAAATTAATTTTTCATTATAAAAAACTTAAAAAATAAATCTAAGTTTTAAAATGTTTTGACTCCTTTAAATTTCCGTAAGTTACAATAGTTAACCTCTCAGTTTTGAACAGCCTGGGAAAATCAACTTATTTTCTCTTATCAGACAAGGGAAGTGTTTTCAGTAACTTCTTTCTGTTCAACCTTAGTTACCTGAGAATTCCATTTTCTTCAAGGGCTAAACAGAGATCTTTTCATAGGGGTATCTCTTGATTAATACCCCTTTTTCTCTTTATGTTAGACTTTACCCTTCATTGGTTTAGATGAACTGAGAAAGAGGCATGGAATATGGGCAAGAAAGTGGCGGCTAAGGGAGAACAGAATCAGTCTTAGAAATAGTAAGATAGCCAGGAGTGGAAAAAGTTCCCTTAGTTTTCATTCTTCTCCGCACAAATACTTTCCAAGGACTTGCCAATGTTTAAAAGCCCATAATTAGAGCTTCATTTATTCCAGAATTAGCGCTCCATTCCTTTTGTTTGAACCAAACAAGAGCTCCCCTTGCGCTTAATTTTTTTTGTGTGTGTGTGGGGGGAGGGAACTTAAGTTTTTTAAAGCAAAATAGTATCTATATTTAAAAGTATGTTAAATTGATTATATTCAAAGAGAAGAACATTTGACTTACCTAGGATGGTTACTTCAAAATGTCCAAGGCTTCGGGCACTCTCAAAATCATCAAGTTTTGGAGGCCTTCCTTCTGGTGGTATGTATTTTGCAGGCTGAGAATTATACTGCTCACTAAGAAACTTTCTGTGTTCGGAAATAAATTTCCGTGGAATACTTTCAGGATAAACATGGCTGTAATGCAGGTGATCTATTAAGCCAAACTTTTTTTCTCTCCACAGCTGACTCTCCCACCTATCACTTGTAGTTTTTCTGGCTTTCCTTAGGAAAGCAGTGATTGGATCATCTGGACCTGTTAAAAACACAATGAGATAGACACAGTTGACCTAGAAACTAATCAAATCAAGTTATTCACTGCAAAAAAGCACATATTAATGAAGAACAGGTTAAGTAACTTTAAAGATCAAACCACCACCTACAAAATGTAAAATGAATATACAAAAGATAATTCTTATGAAAGTGAAGAATGAACTAAATTCACTTTCAAAATAAATCACTTTTACTACAAAATATTAAAAGTGATATTGTTTTTTCTGTTGTCAGAATTAGGGAGATTTATAATTTACTTTTCTATATTTTCTAAATACTCTTAAATAAACGTATATTTCTTTTATATTAAGTGACACAGTCAAGTTAAATCAAATTCATGAGAATAGTACCCTTTAGAGATTACTCACTATAGATGGAATTTGAGCTTAAAATAAAATTTTGTTAATCTTTGCTAAAAGTAGCCTGAACAAATACAGTCTTGTTCTTCGATACATCTCTCCTTCAAAAGAGCCATTTATTTATTATATATGACACTTCTTTCAGACATAAATAACATATGGAAACCAAAGAGGGAACTAAATTGAGATGAAAGACTCCCCTCAACTCTTGATTATTCTCTATCATCAAGTCAAATTATCATTTATGTACAATTTATCTAACACATTTAATTTCTAAGGCAGAATATAATTTATCCCTTACACATTATGACATTCATTCATTGAAAAAATAATTAATGAGCACCTATTATGTGCCAGACGCTGTGATAAGGAGTTTGGTACAAATAATATTTTAATTGAATAGTATATCCTGGGTACTGAAAGCATATGGTAGAATCAGAAAAAATTAAATTTTGGAACAAGACTCTTAAATTCTCAGTTCTGCTAGCTGAGGAGTTGCTGACAGCAACTCTGTTTCAGAGTTTGCCAAGGTGTGCTGAGCTGCTTTCTTGCAGGCTATGTTCTGGTGTTGATTCTTATCCCAGCATAAAAAAACCTTGCTGGGGCAGAAGGTGGCTTCAAAAGAAAGGTTTTAGTACAAGTAATATACCACTTCTGATGATTTTCAGACTTTATTCCATATTCCCAGACTACTTGCTTGGTTTTTCAACCTATCTGGAGACTTACTAAAAATTTATTACAAAGTAAAGTATCAGATTGAGTTATAAGGGAAGATGAAGAAGTTGATCACACACTTCTTACTCACCAGGAATTTAAAATACTATAATATTACAGAAGAGATTTTTTTTTTTTTTGAGACAGAGTCTCACTCTTTTGACTGGGCTAGAGTGAGTGCCATGGCGTCAGCCTAGCTCACAGCAACCTCAAACTCCTGGGCTCAAGCGATCCTCGTGCCTCAGCCTCCCGAGCAGCTGGGACTACAGGCATGCACCATGCCCGGCTAATATTTTTCTATATATTTTTAGTTGTCCGATTAATTTCTTTCTATTTTTAGTAGAGACGGGGTCTCGCTCTTGCTCAGGCTGGTTTCGAACTCCTGAGCTCAAACAATCCGCCCATCTCGGCCTCCTAGAGTGCTAGGATTACAGGCGTGAGCCATCACGCCCGGCCCAGAAGAGATTTTTTAAACTCAAAATTCAGTTCATGAACACATTTAGCTTCCTATAATAATGCTTGAAAACAAAAGGGATAACAAATTTAATCACACATGAAAAGGAAAGAAAGGAATAAATCAAAGTCAAGAGAAAAACTTAATAGGACTAAACTGAGGATTGGGAAATAATTTCATCCTTTTTATCTTCTAGAAATAAATCTCTTCTCGAATTAATAAAAGTACATAATTACAACAATAGTAGCTATTACAGTAATCTAAGCCATACTGAATTTTCCTGATTGACTTGTTCCAGAATATAGCACGCAAAAGAAATAGTTATATGCTACTTCATTTTTTTTTTTTTGAGACAGAGTCTCACTCTGTTGCCTTGGGTAGAGTACAGTGGCATCATCACAGCTCACTACAACCTCAAACTCCAGGGCTCAAGAGAGCCTACTGCCTCAGCCTCCCTAGTAGCTGGGACTACAGGTGTATGCTACCACGCCCAGATAATTTTTTCTATATTTTTGGTAGAGACAGGGTTCTTGCTCTTGCTCAGGCTGGTCTTGAACCCCTGACCTCAAGCGATTCTGCTGCCTTGGCCTCCCAGAGTGTTAGGATTACAGGAGTGAGCTACCATGCCCAGCCAATTTTACTCTTTAATTTTAATTAGCAAGTAAATGATAAACTAATAGCTAAACAAAATTTTTGTTGAAAATAGTATGGAAGGAAAAAATGAGATTAATTTCAAATAATCATTCCTCATGTGATAAACAAAATGTGTATGAAAAGCTCAGCATGGTGCTTGGCACATGAATGTTCGATAAATGGCTGGTACTATTATATAATTGTGGGAAGTACTATATTACTTCCTGTAGGCAAAACAGAGGGGATGATCTAAGCAGATGCTAACATAAAGATCTTCATAAAGTTTAATCACCAAGTTGACAAACTGAAGATTAGAAATTTGATTGCCTTCTTGGATATTCAGCAGAGAATGACAAAATCTGGAAACAATTATTAATATGTTTTTCTCCTTCATTTTTAGAATTTAGAGTCCAGGTAAGATTTGATTTCTGAGAAACCTTTTTTTTTTAAATTTCAAATTATGCTTATTTGGGGAAAACAATCTTTTTCTCCAGGAGTACCATCTAAAATGTGCATTAAAACTTCTGGACAAAGTATTCAGCCTTATTCAGATAATAGTCTGTCTAGAATATGATTAAGGGAAATGAATACAAATTTATCAGTAGGTAACCTACATAAATCTAATAGGTAAGGTTAGTACAGATGGGTATTATTTTTTAAAAAAAAAGATTAAAAATTTTTAGAATGGAATTATTCAAAATGCCCCGATTTCATATCATGTAGCAATCAACAAAAACCATGTTAAAATACTTTGGAAAAGTTCATGAGACATCAAATTTAACAATATAGTATGGAATAAAATGACAGTATTATTTCTGTCTAGGTGGACACTGAAAACAAAATAATAACACCACCAAAAACAGGACGGGTATTTGTATACACAAGGAGTGCAATGCGCACTACCCGAAGGCTGGACATATTTGAAACACGGACTTCGGTGGGGGGGGGGAAGCGAGGGCAACACACGTAACCTAAACATATGTACACCCATAATTTGCTGAAATAAAAAAAAAAAAAAAGCTAAAAAGTGTAGTCCAAAGGGATAATCCCTTATAAGAACTGATTTGAACCAAATCACTCTAAGGGCACCCTACCAGAACAAAATTGTATTATAAAATCACTTCAGAAATGAACCCAAAGTTCAAACCAATCAACATAATAGCAAGAAAAGCAGATATGACTTACTTTTAAGATTTACTTAAAATTACCATCAATTAAAAATTAAACTTGCTACTTAATTATTTTTCTGTTAATTAAAAACAGTACATTGTAAGGGATGTACTACTACTGAAGAAACAAATTGGTAAGTATAAGTTTGTTTATAATTACTTTCACTTTGGGGATGATACCAAATTGATTAGTATTTTTGGCAGTGACATAGCTAATATAAATACAAACCAGCAATGAAACAACTAGCTATATAGCTATCAAAAGCACTGTATTACTATCTGGAAGCACACATTACTATATGCAAATAGTAATCTGTATATAATAATGTTCCATAAAGTTTTCGTAAATAATAATAAACAGTAACATACGTAGGGGGGTGCTTGGCGTGCCTGGTTTATTTCCTTTTGCTTGTACAGAAGCTTCTAGCTGAGGTACAGCAACTCTATAAAGGATTAAAAAAAAGATAACCAATAGTTATAAAAACAGACTCGTATGAAAAACAAAACCCTAATTGGTTCTATTCAGAATTTATTCTAATTCAATACATTGAAAAAATACACAAGTTCCTTAAAATAATGCATTAAAATACACAAAAAATTATTAAAAATATCCATATATAATGTAATTCAAATATTACAAGATATTTAAATTTTCTTTTAGGCGTATTCCATAAAAGGGAGCATTTAACTTTACTAAATATCAGCTAAGGATGGAAATAATTTTCATTATTTATGATGGAAATTTAAAAATTAGTGCAATGGCCTAGTTTTTATGTTTTCTTTGTTCAAAAATTTTGGTAAACAGTCTGGCCTATCTCTTCAATCTCATTTCATGGTTTCATGTTAGTCCCATGCTTTTTTAAACCTTCGTGCTTTTACTTCTGCCTGAAATAATCCTATTCCCTCTTTCCTTTGCCTGGTTAACTTTTATTCATTCTTCAAATTGTAGTTCAGGCATTATTTCCTATAAGAAGCCTCCCCTCATCTCTAGTCAAGGCTAACTGCTCCTTGTATATGCTGTATGGCACTATGAATAAACTTCTATCACAGTATTCATTACACTGTATTGAAAGTACAGGTTTATAGGTCCGTCTTTTCCACCAGACTAAGCTCTCTATGAAAGCATAGACTTTATTTTATTAGTTTCTGTAGCTCCATATAGTAGCTGCTCAAAAACTGTTTATGGAACAGAAATGAATGGAGAAAAGGGGAAACATCTTATTCTGAAGCTAAGGAGAACCATGCTTTTGTAAGGAAAGATTTCCATCTTATAGGCTTTAGCATATTGCTGTGATGAGTTTTTTCCTATTGTTGTATTTCCAAAACTAAAGGCATAAAGTGAAACAGAAAAGTCATATTGTAGAATGACACATAATATTGCTCAACCTATTTTATCAATAGATTTATCTCTTATAATAATATTTTTAATTACACTAATCAGTTATTAATGAACTAAAAAGTAGTGTTCATGAAGTATTTATGTACCATTTAACTATAAAATTCTGGCAAATAAAAACGTATTTTGGCTGGGCAAGGTGGCTCACGCCTGTAATCCTAGCACTCTGGGAGGCTGAGGTGGGAGGATTGCTTGAGCTCAGGAGTTCGAGATCAGCCTGAGCAAGAATGAGACCCTGTCTCTATCAAAAAGAAAAAGAAAAAAAAGGGGGAAAAGCCCACATTTTATAGTTGTAGTTTTATTTTTTCAATTAATAAAAATGTGGTATTTCTAGAAATTCATAAGCAGAAAACAAACTCTAAGAGGAATTTAAATAACTAAAAAATAAATAGTTGTATGCATTTTGAGATCCTTAAGGAGCGTATATATACCTTTTTAAAAAGTGTGATTATAAAGTGATTTTTTCATTTGACATAAATTAGAAGAAATAGTTTCTCAAACTCTAGCATCACCATTACATTATACAGAATATTTTTTAAAAAGTGGTTTAGATTTTTACTTGGTATACATAATCATTCATTTGTATGACCTAAATGTCTTAAAGGTGAGGGGCTAAATGACAGAAGTGGAACTATACAATGTCTATGGGTACCACCTGAAGAAACTGAACAAAGAGAGATAAAAAAAAAAGAGATAAAAAGATACAGGAGAACAGAAGGATAACTGAGGGTGGAAAAGATAAAGAGGGCTAAAAGAAGAGAAGACAAAGATGCATATGATGTGTAGTGGCAGAATATCATACAAATTATGTCAGGGACTCTAAGTTGTACTTGAACCTTGCCATTATTACCAATTTATTTACTTTAGCTAAAAGTCACATAGATTCTATAGTATGCCATTCTCTCATCTATATAATAAGATTATAGTTAATGTTATTGTAGTCTTATAAAGTCTTTAATGCAAAGAAATTAAAAATACTTAATATACACATATATAGATCTTATATTTTATCCTTTATGAACCTAAGATTCCTCATCTATAAAATTGAGATTATTATCCTGCTTCTTCCTCGCAGGGAAGTTGATGATCAAATGAAGTGATGTAAGTGATCTTGCTTTGTATATTGAAATGCTCTATACAATCATTTGAAAGAATATTTTCAGTGTCTTCTTAAGCAGAAAAATTATACAAAAGGACACGAACATAGTTTTTTGTGAAGTTGCTAATATAAGCAAATTAGAAATAGTTTATAATGATCAAAAATGCTAAAGTCATTTGTGATCATTAATTCAAATTAGCAAATGCTTTTCAGGAAACAACCATTATTTAAAAATGTTCCCTATGGTGCCTCTGCTTTTCTTAGGGGGAGATACTGAAAATGATTTTTAAGGATTCATTTAACTTTGGTATGGTTCACTTTCTCTGTTTGTGGAGTAAATACTATCAATAGAATGAAACGAAGAGGTTTTAATGTCCCATTTGTCATGTTTGATTTCTTCAGTGTTAATTTTTTGGGCGAGTTGATAGATTTTGACTAAATTTTAAAATCTAAAAGAAAGCACGTGGTATCCCTTAAATTGACTATCTACCATTTGAATTAAAATGTTGGTTGGACACAAGCTCGAAAATGGTTATATTTACTGTTATTGTACCAACAGGTGATCAATACATTGGAGTTGTCAGGCCATGATATAAAACACTATGATTAATACATTCAAGAAAACAAAGATGGTCAAAACAGATATAGAATCTCTAAAGAGAACATGTAAAAAGTGAATCAAGTGGGCTTCCTAGGACTAAAAAACAGAATAGCTGGACTTAAGAACTCTGTGGTACAATAAAGAATATATGTCATACTTGTCTCTGGTTCCTGGCACAGAGCTTCAAAAACCTTTGGAATTTTCTGAGTGACAGAACTGCCTTTGTTAATCTAATGAAGTGACTGGTAGTGGGTTCCTAGATAGCTTCAGGATGGGGGCTTGTCACTAGAAAGACCAACCAAGTAATCTGAGGGTTGGAACATTGGGTTAGCTCAAACTCTAAGGAGAGGAAGGGGGCTGGATAGCAACTTCAATCATCTGGCCAGTGATTTAATCAATCATGCCTACATAATGAGATTAGGAAAAAAAACCCTCTGGGCAGCAAGGCGTGGTAGAGCTCTGTGGTTGGTGAACACAGTGATGTGCCAATAGAATGATATGCCTGGATTCCATGAGGAGAGGGCACAGAAGCTCTGCATTGTTTTCCAGACCTTTCCCTGTGTGTCTCTTCATTTGGCTCTTCCTGATTTGCATCCTTAATAATAAAACAGTGATTGTAATTGTAGCACTAAGTTCTGTGAGTTGTTCTAGTGAATTATTGAACCCGGGGGTCAGGAGAACCCCTGAATTTGTAGCCAGTTGATTAAAAGTGCAGGTGGCCTGGGGACCCCCTAAAGTGTGGCTGGTATCTGAAGTAAGGACAGTCTTGTGGAGGACTGAGCCCTTAAGCCTGTGGAGTCTAATGCTAACTCTGGGTAGTTAATGTCAGAATAGAACTGCAGCATGCCCAGTTGAAGTGGAAACAGAACAAGAACTCAATGAACTCAACTGACAGGTTTAATAGTAGATTGGATATAGTAAAAGAGTAAATAAAGAGACATGTTAATAGAAAATTTCCAAACTGAAGCACAGAATCAGAAAAGAATGATATATATGTATATACACACACACACATATGAATAATACAGAATAGAGTGTAAGAAACATTTGCTCACAGAAGTACTATCGTATGTGTAACTGGAATCACAAAAAGAGAGGAGATAATGAGGCAGAAATAATATTTGAAGAGGTATTGGCTGATAATTTTCCAAAATTGATAAAAGAAATCAATCTACAGATTCAAAAAGCTCAGCAATCCCAAAGTAGTATAAAACAAAGAAAGACACTCCTTGAGACATCATATTTAAAGCACTAAAAATTAAAGACAGAGAACACCTTAAAAGCATTTTATGAAAAAGGATACAATACCTTTGAAGAAGCAATTATAAGACATCTGCCTGACTTCTCAACAAAGATAGCGGAAACAATAAACACAAAGAGTAGAATTACACATTTAAAGTGCTGAAAGCAAAAAAAAAAAAAAAAACAAAAAAACAAAAGAACACCCTGCAACCTAGAATTCTGTATACTGTAAAAATATCTTTTGGGAATAAAGGTGAAATAAAGATATTTTCAGACAAACAAAAACTGAGAGAATGAGTCATCAGCAAGCTACATTGAAATAAATGCTGAAGGGAATTCTACAGTCAAAGGGAAAATAATGCCAGAGAGAAGCATGGAAATATAGGTAGGAATAAAGAATACATAAAAAAATTAATCATGTGGATAAATATAAGGGAATACTAACCACACAATACTATTCTTAGAGTTTAAAACATATGTAGAACTAAACTGTATGATAAAAATAATGAAAATAGGGACGAATAGAGTTGAAGTGTTCTAAGGTTCTAGCGTCATCCAGGAAAATGGTATAATTTGTATTTAACTACAATAAGTCAAATATTTATGTTTTAAGGTAACCACTAAATAATATTGGTAACCACTAAATACGTAATTATCAAAATAAAAAGGGGAAAATTGAATAATGAAAACTATTTGATTAAACAAACAGTATGAAGATTGATATAAATATAACTATATCATTAATTCACATTTAATATGTGAATGGAATAAATAAGTAAAAGATTAAGATTGTCACATTGGATTAAAAAACAACTATATGTTGCTTAAAGGAGACAACTTTAAATACAAAGACATAAAAAGGTTAAAAGTAAAAGGAATGGAAAATATATGTCATGCAAATGCTAATCAAAATAAAATTGGTATAGGTATATTAGTATTAGACAAAGCAGACTTTAAGGCAGAAAGCATTGTGAGACATAAAGAACATTTCATAATAACAAAGAGGTCAATGCATTACAAAGATAGCACAATCCTAAATCTGTATGTAGCCAGCAACATTACTTCAAAATACATGAAACAAAAAAACTTATAGAACTAAAAGGAGAAATAAATCCACAATCATAGTGAAAAATTTTGACACATCTGTCTCAATTAGCTGATGGAAAAAGCAGACAAAAAATCAGTAAGGATATAAAGGAGAAGAGAGATGATCAACAATTAACATACTTGGACCTAGCTGACATGTATCGAACAGTACACCCAACAATGACAGAATTCATATTCTTTTCAGGTATGTATGAAGCATTTATTAAAATTGACTATATATCTTAAGAAGCCTTTCAATAAATTTCCAAAAAATCATTTAGAATACCTTCTTTCTCCAGAGTGCAGCTAAGCTGAAATAAATTTTAAAAAGGTAACTAGAAAATGCTCAAGTATCTCTAAATTAATCAATATACTTCACAATAAACCTATGAATCAAAGGGGAATCACAATAAAAACTTAAAAAAAGAATGTTTTTAAATGGAGAATGAAGTAGAATGCAGCTGAAGTAGTACTTAGAAATTTACAGCATTATATACAAATATTAGAAAAGAAGAACCAAAAATCAATGATTTAAGAATCTAGCTCAAGTCACTATAATAAAAAAAGAACAAGAAGACTGATTCAGAAAAAAAGTCAGAAAACACAAACTATGAGTATCAGGAATGAATAATGGAACAACATTATAGATTCTACAGAAATATAAAAGACAATAAGAAGAGACTATGAACAATTTTATACCAATAAATATTACAATTTAGATATGAACATAAAATTCTTTGAAAAACAAAATGGCCAGAGGAAGAAAATATGGATATTCTAAAATTTATTAGAGAAATTGAATCACCTATTCAAAATATTCCCCAAAAGAAAACCTCAGACCCAGATGGTTTCACTGGAGAATCCATCTAAATATTTAAAGAAGAAATAATACCAATCTTCCACATTCTCTTACAGAGAATAAAAGAGGAAACACTTCCCAATTATTTTTTTAATAAGGCCAGCATAAACTTGGTATACAACCATAACAAGTATATTACAAGAGATAAAAATCTATAAATCAATCTCTCTCATGAACATGGATACAAAAATGCTAAATAAAATATTACAAAATCAAATACACTGATATATAAGAAGGGTAATATATCATAAGCAAGTAAAATTATTTATAAGAATGCATGGATGATTTAACATTCAAGAAATTAATCAATTTAATTAACTACATGGAAAGAACAAAAGGTAAAACAGTTAGTATATTAATAAACTCAGTATAAACATTTGGCAAAATTCAACTCACATCCATGAGAATAACTTAGCAAATTAGTATTAGAAGGAAATTTATTTAATCTGATAAAAATTATTCACCAAATTTCTCAATGGTGAAATCTTGAGAAATTTCCTTCTGAGATTAAAAATGAGACACAGATGCTCTTTACTACAAATTCTATTCAACATTGTACTAAGGGTCCTAACCAGTACAATAACACAAGAAAAAGAAATAAAAGGCAAAATAATTGGAAAGGAAGAAATAAACTACCATCATTTGCAGATTACATGATCTGTGCAGAGAACCCCCCCCAAAAAAACTCTACAAACTTTTAGAAGCAATAAGTGAATTTATCAAGGATGCTAGTATCTATAACCTTGATAAATGAACTTATTATTTATTTATAACCAAAAACTGTTACCCAATTAGGCATAGCTACTCTAAAAGACTGGAGTTTCAAAAATCTTAAAATCCGAAAAGATTCTGTACTCTATTTTATGAGTGTCTGGGTTCTCCTGACACTTTAAAGAAACCAAAACTATTAATCATATACAATTCATAATGGATGAGGTTTATGTAGGAAGACCCATGCTTAAACAATTGGTACACAAATATAAGCTATAATGTTTTAAATTAAAATAAAATGCTTAAATAAAATAAAAATGTTTATTTTTAGAGATAAATCTGCATTTTAAACTCATTTTCAATTAGTCCGTGCTGAGTATGGCAGATAAGAGGGCTTCTGTTATGGGTTAAATTGTGTCCTCAAAATTCATATGTTGAAGTCCTAATTCCCAATACCTCAGGATGTGACCTTATTTTGGTTACCTGGCTACAAACAGGTACTATTCTTCAAGAAAACGGAATAATGACCCCAGGGGTGGGACTACCTCCTTCGTTCCAGAAGACACGTCAACCTTTTCAATTCTAGAGGGTGGGACCATCTCCTTGGTTCCAAAGTGTGGAGCCACCATCCAGAGCTTAAGAGGTTGGGCTGCTACCTTGGTGGGCCCAGAGGATGCAATGTTGAAACTGTGAAGTCTTAAAATCTAATGGAATTTGCCTTACTAGGTTTTGGGGTGCTTATGACCCAAGACTCTTTTTTTCCTTCCAGTTTCTCCCTTTCAGAATGGGAATGTCTATCCTATACCTGTCACACCATTGTGTACAGGATGGATGATCTGTCTGATTTCACAGGTTTACAGATGGAGAGTTCTGCCCCAGGATAAATCACCCTGATCATGGATGAATGAATCACATCCATTTGTAATTTAGATGATATTTAAATGAGATTTTGGACTAGAGTTGATGCTGGCATGGTTTAAGCCTTTTGGGGATATTGTGATGGGGTGAATGTATTTTGAATGTTTCTTGAGAAGGACACAAATCTTGGGAGCCAGAGGCAGATGGTTATTGGTTGAACTATGTCCCCACAAAATTCATATGATGAAGTCATAACCCTCAGTAACTCAGAATGTGACCTTATTTGGAAACAAGGTCATTGTAGATGTAACTGGTTAAAATGAGGCCATACTGGAGTAAGGTGGGCCCCAAATACAATATGACTGGTGTCCTTATAAAAGGGGGAAATTTACAACAGACACAGACAACACACAGGGAGAACTCTATGTGAAGATAAAGGCAGAGAATGGGGTGATGCTTCTACAAGTCAAAGAGTGCCAAAGATTTCCAGCAAACCAGCAGGACTAAGAGAAAGGCATGGAACAGATTCTCCCTCACAGCCCTCAGAGGGAACTAACCCTGTCAACACCTCGATCTTGGACTCTAGCCTCCAGAACTGTATTTAAGCCACCCAGTGACCATATTTTGTTATGGCAGCCCCAGCAAATTAATACAGCTTCTATCATAATTGCTTATTTTACAGGCTAGAGATAAACCAAAAATAAAATAATGTGCTTTGCTTATACTTGACACAAATGACTTACGGTTTAGCACATGGGCCTTGAACAATTCTTATTTTATTGCTCTGACTGGAACTTGCAGTTGCAGCTTGAAAAGACTGAGAACACCTAGGCTCATCCTCTAGAGGTCGTTTACCATTTCTCTCAGGACTTTGAATTTCTCTTCTAGCTGCTTGAGATGTTGAGGGTTGGTTAGCATTCTAAAACCAACAATTTAGAGAAAACATTTAAAAATGATTCACAAAAATTTTTTCTCTCTTAAAAGATCTAGAATTTTAATTTATCTATTTCTTATAATTTTAAGAATTGTGCCAACTGAAATTGATAAATAAATTCAGCAAAGTCTTAGGTTACAAAATTAATGTACACAAATTAGTAGCATTCATATACGCCGACAGTCAAACTGAGAACGAAATCAAAGACTCAAACCTTTCACAGTAGCAACAAAGCAAATAAAATACCTAGGAATATATTTAACTAAGGAGGTGAAAGACCTCTACAGGGAGAACTATGAAACACTGAGGAAGGAAATAGCAGAGGATGTAAACAGGTGGAAAACCATACCATGTTCATGGGTCGGCAGAATCAACATTGTTAAAATGTCTATACTACCCAAAGTGATCTACAGATTCAATGCAATCCCTACTAAAATACCAACAACATTTTTCACAGATACAGAAAAAATAATTCTATGCTTTGTATGGAACCAGAGAAGACCCCATATAGCCAAAGCAACCTTAAGCAAAACGAACAAATTGGAAGGCATCGATTTACCAGACTTGAAGCTATACTATGAGGTTACAGTAATCAAAACAACATGGTACTGGCACAAGAACAGAGACATAGACCAAGGGAGCAGAACAGAGAACCCAGATATAAACCATCCTCATATTGCCATCTGGTCTTTGACAAAGCAGACAAAAACATACAATGGGGAAAAGAATTCCTATGCAATAAATGGTACTGGGAAAATTGGATAGTCACATGTAGAAGAGCAAAACAGGATCTGCACCTCTCACCACTCACAAAAATAAACTCATGGTGGATAACAGACTTAAACCTAAGGCATGAAACTATAAGAATTCTAGAAGAATATGTTGGAAATACTGTTATAGACAACGGCCTAGGCAAAGAATTTATGAGGAATACCCTAAAAGCAATCATAGCAACAACAAAAAAATAAATAAATGGGACTTGATTAAATTAAAAAGCTTCTGCACAGCCAAGGAAACAATCAATAGAGCAAATAGATAACCTACAGAATGGGAGAAAATATTTGCATGCTATACATCTGATAAAGGGCTGATAACTAGAATCTATAAAGAACTCAAGCAAATCAGCAAGAAAAATTCAAACAACTCATTAAAAAGTGGACAATAGACAGGAACAGAAACTTTTCAAAAGAATATAGACTGATGGCCAACAAATGCATGAAAAAATGCTCAACATCTCTAATCATCAGGGAAATGCAAATCAAAACCACAATGAGATATCACCTAACTCCAGCAAGAATGGCTTTTATCAAAAAGTCCCAAAACAACAAATGCTGGCATGGATGCGGAGCAATAGGAATATATTGTCCCATCACATATTGTTGATGGGACTGCAAACTAGTACAACCTTTATGGAAAGTAGTATGGAGATACTTCAAAGAACTAAAAGTGGACCTACCATTTGATCCAGCAATTCCACTACTGGGTATTTACCCAAAGGAAAAAAAGACATTCTATAAAAAAGACACCTGCACTTGAATGTTTACAGCAGCACAATTCACAATTGCAAACATGTGTAAACAACTCGAGTGCCCATCAGTACATGAGTGGATTAATAAAATGTGGTATATATATACCATGGAGTAATACTCAGCCATAAAAAATAGTGAACTAATACCTCTTGTATTAACCTGGATGGAACTGAAGACCATTCTTCTAAGTGAAGTATTACAAGAAAGGAAAAACCAACACCACATGTACTTACCATTAAATTGGAACTAATTGATTAACACTTATGTGCACATATGGAAATAACATTTATTGGAAATCATGCAGGAGGGAGAGGGAAGAGGGGATGGGTAAATTTGCACCTAACAGGTACAATGCACACTATCTGAGGGATGGGCACACTTATAAATTTGACTCAAACGGTACAAAAGCAATTGATGTAACCGAAATGTTTGTACCCCCGTAATATTGTGAAATAAAAAAGAATTGTGACAAAATTTTGCAATCAACAGTGCTTTTATAAAGATGATTAAATCTAATCTATCTGCTATTACAATATTTTTTAAAGGAAGATAAAAGTGCTTCTTATACTAGTATAACTGAAAAGTTGGATTAAACATTTATTTCCATATGAACAGTAATAATCGTAGACGTAGTTTTTAAGAAGATAAACTCATGGGAAAAATTAACTTATTTGTCTTGATTTTGCCAAGATTCCAGAACTGGCCTCTTCTACCATTTATCCTACAAGAGTTATTGCTATCTCACGTAGAACCTGGGTAAGACTACCATGCTAGATATAGAGGTAAAAACTTCCCATGGAAACTTTCCTGTAGTACTAGCCTGAACAACAGGTAGGAAACGAATATGGACATACATACCACCTGGAAGTTTAAAACATTCACGATAGGCTCAAATTATGCAGAGAGCAAAACAAGATGCCAACTTTTGAGGGCCTTGTGAAATGTCAGAGGCTATGACTATTAGCCCAGTCTGCCCCAAAATAATGACAGAAAAAGGAAATAAAAAGCTGAAATTTTTTTCTCTTAGGTTTATATCATTAAGAGTCAATACATACGAGTTCTGAAGAAAATGTAAAAGGTACCAATTATAATTATGATCACAGTGCTTTCAGAGATATGCTATTAATTCTCTGGCACCATACCCGAAGTGTTTCTGATGCTGAGGCGTTTTCAGTTGCGCGACTATGGGTGACATACTTTATAACAGTAATTATCCCCTGAACTGCAATGCGCTTTTGTTCCCTGTACTGCAAGTCTTCAATCACCTCTCTCACTTCATTCATAGCTGTCAAGAGTGACCCAACTGCAAAAGAGGAATTCCAAGGAGACTGTAAGTTTTAAAGAACTGAAATGATAAAAGTAAGGATTATATTTGCAATGTAATTTCACAACATGGAATTATAAACTTGCTACATTAAGTCTGTAAGACTTTGTGTTTATATCTGACATCCCCTAATGTAATTTTTGTGAAATAGGCAAAATATATTTATCAGTTAAATTGTAACACAGGCTTCCAATCTGGAGTCTTCATTTTCAAAAGAAATTTTGCATATTTAATGTAATTTATATATTTCAAACTATAAAGTATTGCCTAGCCAGTGCACAGAAAAACCACATTTTAATTATTTCAACCATATACTACAAATTGCTAGCATTATGATATATAAGAAGGTGCCAATATTTAGATGATAGTATTAATAGGTTGGCATTTCAAAGTTTCTCTTTTTTTCCCAAACCATGCAATTATTTCATGGCTTTTAAAAAAGACCATGCTTATATTAAACCTTTTAACTGTCATATATTAATTCTACTAATTATAATTGATTCTACTAAAAAGTAAATTAATATTAGGTCTCTCATCAATACTTCAATTCCAAATTCAGCATCTCATTTATTTTGGTGTCATTTTTTATTTGAAGGTAGCACTCAATTATGTTATATACAATATATATCATTCACAAAAGTAGCATAATACAGTTGTCAATATCTTAATATCAAAGTGCCCAGCATCTCTTTTAGGTATCTTTAGTCTTTCTGTGTAATATCATAGGAGTTGAGATCTACCAAGGTCAGATCTGCTCGCAATGACATTAAATCAAGACATTACAGGTTGAGCATCCCTTGTCTGAAATGCATGGGACCAGGAGGTTTCAGATTTCAGATTTTTTCATATTTGCATTATACTTACCAGTTCAGCAACCCTAATCCAAAAATCTAAAGTCTAAAATGCTCCAATGAGTATTTCCTTTGAGCATCATATCAGCATTCAAAAAGTTTCAGATTTTAGAGCATTTCAAATTTTGGATTTTTGGATTAGGGATACTCAACCTGTATCTCCAGTTCGTCATCTCTACATTCTCTCTTTTTTTCCGGTCTAATAAAATCATAATAGTAACCTTTAGGATACATGGTATGTATTTTTAGGTCTCCTTTAAGACAAAATTATTATCAGTGAATGTTGCTACACTTTGGCTGACTCTCATAAAAGAATAAAGATGACTAACTGAAATAGCATATACCATACATATAACATATGAACATGAGGACTGGCAATTATATAAATACCTTTAACTGAATTACTATACTTGGAAAATGTCTCTGGCACTGGTGGATAGGGATAATATCCACCAATAACAGTATTCTTCACTTCCTCAGAATCGGTCCGTGTTTTAATCCACTGAATAAAGTTTTTTACCTTGGCATCGTAGGTATACGGCTGGCCTTTATGACCTCCTTGCAGGAAGGGTAAATCGTAGAAAACAAGAAATAAAAAGGTCACTGTAGTAAACTGAATAGACTTTTTTGTATAAGAAGTTTAATATTAAAACAGTCTCTCATATTACTGAGTAAAAAGTCAAGTTTACTTATTCACTATGTAGCAGATAATTATTTAAAGACAGTAAACAAATCCTAAGAAGGAAATCAGACATACAGTGCATTAGAGTTTAAGCGGACTAAACTGTAGCTGTCTATAGGATGCTAAAAACCACAGGAAGAAGGAAAAATAATAATCTGAATTTTTCTAACTGTCCAAATGGTTGGCATCTTCTGAAAAAACTGATTTTTAAATCATGTATTAAACTGAAAGTATGGCATTATGTATGAATCAAACTGCTTATGAATATAGCTCAGCATTTAAATTCATGCTCTTAAAACATACTTAAAAGTGTCATATTTACATATGATAGTATTTTTAAAAAGGTATGTATTGACAAAGATGTACATTACACCTTTCCTAAGACTCTACTTTTGACAAACTTCTGAATTACCACCATGGTAGCGCTCTGGTAAATACCCCATTCTATACTATTTCCTTACCCTCTCATTTGGAAACTTTAATCTTTATTGTTTTGACCCTGTTATTAGAGGGAACAGGGAAAATAATACACTTGTAGACAAGTAGTGAGATTCTTCTTACTATATAAATAAGATGTCAGATCTTGGGGCCAAAATTTGATACTTATTTTTGTTTTACTTAGAATTTTAAAATATTGTTAACTGAATCCATACTATGGTATCATGCTTAATGGTCTTCAATCTATCAAGCAATTTATGATTATTTACATTCTACATCAAACAGGAATTAAAGTTAACTGAAAGATATAAACACAATTCTCCAGTGAGTCAAAAAATCATTGCTTCAATCATAAATAATCCAGAAGCAATGCACTCCATAGGCCAAATATTTTTTGTTAAAACATTCTTACAATGATAAAGGAGGGCAAAATAAAGCTATCTTGTAGTTGACTGTTACAAGTTAATATGTGCTAAAGGATTCCAGAGAAGAGAAAATATATTACATTTCCAACAAAGTATACACAAAGAAATTACTCACCAGTAATAAACACTCGACTCTCATTGGTAGTGGTGAGGTAAAGCAATTTAGGTACTTGAGCATCATTTCTGACAACTCTCAATTGTGTACACGCAAAATATGTCGCTGTAAAAAATAAATATATTTCTGAAATTACTTTTGCATTCTAAAAAGGACATACCAAAATCAAGATCTAATACAATGCTTCTCTAACTTCAATGACAGAGGGAATAACATGGGACTACTATTAAAATGCAAATTCAGCTTCAGTAGGTCTAAAGTGGGGCCTGGGCTTCCGCACTTCTAATAAGCTCCTAGTTGAGTACTGATGCCTTCTATTCCTCTGACTATACTTGGAGCAACAAAGATCTAATCCTAGTCTACAGAGTCATTCTAACTGGGCACCCAACTGAGTGTGAAAAGTTATTTCCTATGGAGAAAAAAACTTAGTTTCTCCATAATACTTTCAATGATTGACCAAATCTAACACTGAACCCTGTATTACTCCAACTCCTTCAAATAGAGTGGGCTAAACAGTATTAATTTGTATTTGTTTATGCAAGGGTTTTACATCTCTCATGTATTTATCTTAATTAGACTTGAAGGCCAATAACAGGGCTTATATCATCTGTTTATTTTCTTTCCATCTTGCTAACTTGACAGGCTAAAAAGAATCCCTGAAAATGAGATTATAATGTCCTCAGATTTCAACTACTTTAAAAAATTATCAGTTGTTTTTAATTATTTATCAGGTTATTTAGTTATTAGAGTTTCATTAATCTAACATTTAAAAAAATTCTTTTAATTCACTACATGCCAAAACAGTCTTTCAAAACAGGAAATGAAGAAATAAATGTGAATTCTTGTAAGCACATAAAAGTAAGTTTTTATTTGAGAATAAAAATTTCTCCAGAGTATAACTATAAATTCATTTGCTATATCTTATATTTACTAGTTATTTCTTTATTCTGTAGCAATGAAAATAAAGAAAATCTGTTCAAATGATAAGAGTTATCTTAATTTATATCACTTTTCCTTATTTCAAAAACTGTACAAACATATGAATATTAATGGCTAAAGATGTTGGTACAGGAATATTAAACAAACCTCTAAAATCTGTTAAGAGGGTAGATCTCATGTTAAGTGTTCTTACCACAATAAAACCAAAATAAAAAAAAATAAAGAAACCTCTAACCTCTAATGACCTCTAATGGCCATTAAAAATCTGAGAGTCAGATCTAACACTTTCTAGCTGTTTGACATCCAGGAAATTACTCAACCCCTCTGGATCTTTGCTTTTTCACCTGACAGTTTATACAAACATCAACTGTTTAAAAGGTTACTGAGAATACAAAATGAGTTAATATCTAACAGCTTCTGCTACATAGTAAATGTACAATATTACTTCCCCTTAGTTCTTCACTTTCCTTCTAAAAAAATTTTTTTGTACTATCAAGGGATTTTGGTATTACTTCAGAAGACCCTTGGTCATATTCCCCCTCATAGGTCTGAAGCCCCCTTAATAGTCACAACTTTTTCCTTCACTCTTGGTCAAAAGACAAAAATAAATTGTGATTTTTGTGAACTTATTATACTAGAATAAATCTCACCAAGGTCCACATATACTTTAGAAAGATACATTTCACATTATTACAAGAAATAGAACATACATGCTTGGCAAAGTTTCTGTAAGAAATCTTTATCTAAAACTTGTGTCAGCTGGTTGTTTAACGTGGCTACAAACAAACAGAAAGGGATCTAGCAATAAAACCCACCTAAAATGAGGCAATGGAATTGTCATCAGAGGTCATCAATGACAATTGCTTATGCCCCAAAAGAAGGTACATGAGAGGTCATCTCCCACTCACCTGGGAAGCCCATGTCTTGGTTATGGTCAAAACTCTCTTTCTGTTCCATCCCCCAAAAGCTGGGGTAAGGTTCTGTTCTATCTGCATATATTTAAAAATTTTAATCTCACAAGCCTAGGGTAGAATCTAATGAAGCAGAAGTGTGTAATACTGTTTTGTACAGAGAAAAAAACAAAAGGGGCAGCAGAATAGTCCTGTATATAGTCTCTAGGTCTCTTAGTATTCTATAATTTTTATCTTATTGCTGGTTAAAAAATTAGATGTAGTGAATATTGGGAGCTTCCTCAATGTTGGCAAGCAGTTAACACAGGTAACAATCAGTATTTATTCATGTAATCATTTAGAAAATAATAAAATAGCATATTATATCTAAAATAGCTTTATGTTCTGAATTCAAATAAGGAAATAATCACTGAAATTACTGAAAAGTATTAAATATACTTTTTTCCTTATTGTAATAATCTGAAGACTAGCCTGTTATATGAAATATATAATGAGCCATACCTAAAATGTTTTCAAATAAATAAAACTAGTGGAAAAATACTTTGAAAGAATGCAGGAAAAAAAGTCAATGCCAAAGTAAGCCAAAGTAAAATACTGACCAACTGGTGTAACACCACCAACTTAATATTAATTTAATATTTGAATGGGATCATACTTACCACTGTCATTATTTAATTACATAGTTTGTCAATCCTCTATCAATTAATGCCACATTAGTAAAATCTTTGATGCCTTTAATGGGTTCTACCTAGTCAATTCCCAAATGGATACAAAGGGAACTGATTGCCCATGTTTTAGTTTTACTGAATCTGAAGTTTTTTTATGTGTGCAATTTTAATGAGAATTGACAAGAACACCTGTTTTCTGAAAAACTAGTTTAAATACCAAATTAATTCTGAATAGACAATCAGGTGTTTAATATCTGCTATCGCAAATATGATATTAATATAGAAAAGTTTTAAACATGCTGTCGGACTGCTTGAATTCACTAATTCAATGTCATGCCACTTCTACTATTTTTTAAGTTAATGTTCCCTCCTACTTTTAAAGATAAAAAGATAAAAATATTAAGAATTGAGTACTTGGGGAAATATTTTCGAAGACTTCTGGCTGAGATGTAGAAAACAGTTCCACTATAAATGGTAGCTCTGAAGTCCCATCAGCAATGTGAATCCAGCGATATGACCAAAAATCTTCACCATTTTCTATATGGATAGAATATTAAAATAAATAAAGGTAACTGATTATATACGTATGAACACATAATTATGCACTGAAATACTTTTTATGACTTTCCAACTTTAAAAGCTTACCTTTCTTTTTTGACCTCTGGACCCTTCCGACAAAAACTAAAATGCCAATTACATCACAGATATGATTTATTGGCATATCATCCAGTTCTGATCTAAAAAATAAAAAATTATTAAATAGATATTATATCTTTAAATAGAGAAAAAGCATTCTACAATTATGATTTTGAAAATGTATATCTACATAATTGCTACAGCATAATTTTGGGTAGATTTTCTTTTTTTGAAATAGGGTCTGACTCTGTTGCCCAGGCTGGAGTGGAGTGGCCCAATTATAGCTCACTGTAACCTCGAACTCCTGGGCTCAAGTGATCCTCCCACCTCAGCCTCCTGAGTAGCTGGGACTACAGGTGCATGCCACAATGTCCAGCTAATTTTTTTATTTTTTGTAGAGACAGAGTCTCACTATGTTGCCCCGGTTGGTCTTGAACTCCTGGCCTCAAGTGATCCTCCTGCCCTGGCCTCCCAAAGTACTGGGATTATAGGCATGAGCCGCCACACTCAGCTAATTTTGGGTAGATTTTGAACAAATTATAATGCATTATTTTTCAGTAATTAACATTAAAAATTAATATTTAAGACATTTTACAAGCAATTATTCTACCTTGTAATAAATCGGTGATTTAATCTTGGCAGTCTCCATTCTGGTTTCACCTGCTTTTCTGGAATGATAATTATATTTGTTGGAGGATCTCGAAGATTCAGGCAGATTTCTGAAAAACAAATAAATTACTTTAATATGATATTTAATATATACTAAAGAATATATATGTACGCACATTACACAGCAAAGTAATAGACTGAACATTTTGGAACCTACCACCAAACCCAAGAACTAGACCATTATCAATGGTCTTCTGCCTCAATTATCATGTCCACTTATTTCTCCACCAAAGATTAACCATACCTTGAATTTTATGTGTTATCGTTTTCTTAACTTAAAAAAGATTTTATCACTTATATGTTTTTGCCCAAATAAAGTAAGTTTGTCTTTGTTTTTTAACTTCATACAAATGGAATTATACAATATATAGTATTCTAGGGCTACTTTGTTCACTTTTTTTTTGCTAAAATTCATTCATGTAGCTGCATATAGCAGGGTTATTTTTATTTCTGTGGCTGAATAATGTTCCAGTGTGTCAATATACTATAAGTTATTAACTATACCTTATTTATCCATTATTGTGTTGATGGACAGCTGGATTATTTCCAGGCTTTTGCTATTACACAGGATTGTTACAAATATTTTTGTATATGTCTCCCTGTGCACACAGGCAAGTGTTTTTATAAGGTATTATACCTAGGAGTAGAAACTCTGGATTGTACGATATGTAAGTGTTCAATTCTACAGGCTAATCCCAAATTATTTTAAGTAGTTAACCTATTTATATTTCCACCGGCAATGTGTAAGAATTCCCAAAAATACACATCCTTTCCAAACTTTGGTATTGTCAAATTTTTTATTTTTTGAGAACGCAGTGACATGACCAAGTTATGGTCTTGTTCTATACTTCCCTTATTAGTAATTATATTGAACACAATTCATATACTTATGGTCCATACATACATCCTCTTCTGTGAAATGCCTGTTTGTGTCTTCTGCCCATTTTTCTATTGAATTGTTTGTTTTTAAAAATGTATTTGCAGGAATTATTTATATATTAATTCTTTGTTGACTATGTAGTTGCAAATATTTTTACCCAGTTTGTGCCTTGTTTTTTCATTTCTTATGGTGTTTTTTGATGGACATGAATCCTTAATTTTAATGTAGTTATTAGGTTTGTTAATATTTCTTTTATGGTTACTACTTCTTATGTCTTATACAAGAAATCCTTCCTTATCTTAAGGTCAAACTCTAGGTTACTTTCTATAAGTTCTTCTATAAGTTCTTTCTGTAAGTTCTTCAAAAAGTTTTGCCTTTCACATTTAAGTATTAGATATATCTTGAATTGATTTTTATATGGTATGAGATAGGGATATACTGTCATTTTTCTCATATATTAATCAAGTATCTTACTACTATTTATTGAATGGTTCCTCCTTCCTTGATGATCTAGCAGCAGTCCCCAACCTTTTTGGCACCCAAGACCGTTTTCATGGAAGACAATTTTTTCCATGGACCGGAGAGGGAGCAGATGGTTTGGGGATGATTCAAGCACATTACATTTATTGTGCACTTCATTTCTATTATTATTACATCATAATATACAATGAAATAATTATACAACTCACCATAGTTTGGAGACTCCTGCTATATAGCACATCTGTCATATCGAAATTCTATATGTTTAGGGCTATATTTTCGCTCTGTATTGTGATTCATTGGTCCATTTATCTATACTTGCACCAATACAACATTGTCATAAATACTATAGCTTTATAATAATTGTTGATATTTGTAAAACAAACCTGTACTCCCTTACTACCTCCCTATTCTTATTCTTCAGAAGTGCCTTGACTATTCTTGGCAATTATGTGCTTCCATATGAATTTTAGAATCAGTTTGTCAGTTTTAGAAAAAAAATCTGATGAAATAGCACTCAATCTATAGATCAATTTGAGAGGATTTATTTATGAAATTGAGACTGACCTCCCACCTGTGAACACGAGATATTTCTCCACTTATTTAAGGATTTCTTTTTTATTTTATTTTATTTTTTATTTCAGCATATTATGGGGGTACAGATGTTTAGGTTACGTATGTTGCCCTTGCCCTGCCCCGCCCCCCTCCCCCCCTAAGTCCGAGTTTCAAATATGTCCATCTTTCGGGTGGTGCGCATTGAACTCTTTGTATATGCAAATACCAGTCCCCTCCTCCCTCCTCCTCCCTAGGATTTCTTAATCTGTCATAGAATTAGTTAAATAAAAAAATATTTAAGGCTTTATTATTAAGGCTTTCTCAATGTCTCAAAGACATATTCAAAATAATGTGTCATAATCATCTCCACACAGGTCTTACACATCTTCTTTTAGATTTATTTCTAGATACCTTATAGTTATTGTTGACAATGTAAATAATGTTTTGAAATTATAATTTCTAACTCTTTAGTATTGGGGTATACAAAATCAGTTGACTTTTGTATATTGATCTTACAGCTACCTTTGCCAAAATCTTATTAGTTTTAATACTTTGTGTTATTTTGAATTTTCTTTATAGAAAATTTAATTTGTGAATAACAAGTTTTATGTTTTTCTCTAAAATTCTTATATCTTTAATACATTTTGCCTTCTCACACTGGTTAGGTCAGCCAGTACAACATTAAATAGAAATAGTAATAGGAGGCATCCATGTTCCCCATTTTAAAAAGAAATGTTTCTAAATTTTCCCCATTAAGAATAGTGTTCGGGCCGGGCGCGGTGGCTCACGCCTGTAATCCTAGCTCTCTGGGAGGCCGAGGCGGG